TGATTGGTTTATATCATTCCACTATATAGGGCTTCAAAAGTCACACATTTGTGAAACTGACAGACCTCAAAAGAATCAAACTTTCGATTATCCATAAATCTTCCTGCAAGAAGAAACGAGATAGGGCATCATGGACCAACTTGTTAAAGAGAATTTCTAGTAATTGGGGCATGATCGAAGTAAGAAAAAGAGAAAAGAAAAGAAAAGAAAAAAAGAGATTGATTTAAATAATTATATCATGCATTAATTACATTGTTTTCATGTAAGTAAAAGTTAATTCTGAATATTCATCCCCCTGAGGATATCTCTTTACTCTTTTTACATAGACTTCTGTGTATGAAATAATGAACGGCCTTCTTTCATTTATCCCTTCGCAAAAGGAGAAAAATATATTTTTTGTTATCCCCATTTGAGCCTGAATGATTTTTCTTCTGATTCAACCCTAACCAAGGATCACCATCTATATTTGGGGGCAAGGTGAAGGATATCTGTTCACATGAATAAAGATCGCCAATTCAGTTTTTATTATGAAGACAAATCTCCATGAAGTAAAGAGAGTTTTGAACTACAAGGTAGGTCAAATATGAGGTGCTTGAAGATCAAATCCAGTCAAGAATAACAAATGCAAGAGGAAAATGAGGTACTAAAAGCAATTGAAATCTTACACTCATCTATCAGAAGAAAAGAAAAGAGAAAATAGAAGAAAGAGAAAAAATAAGAAAAAAATAAAAAAAAAAGAAAAAAAAAGAAAAAAAATTGAATCAAGATGGGTGATTCATTGAGCCTCAAGTTATAAGATTGATCAAGTGCAATTAGTTCAAAGATTCATATTCAACAGGAAGCGCAAGAAATGTTGGAGATATAAGAAAATGGAAATAAACCCAAAAATTGGCAGTCTAGAGGGATCTAAAAAAAGAAATGATGAAATACAAGTAGCAAAGCAGATCCAAGTCAAGCAAGACAAGATTGAAGGCATCAAACTGAATTAATCCTTGGTTCAATTACCCTTAAACACTTGTTTGAGCATTTTTATCCCTTTTTTTAATAACCATGAACCCTGGCCTACGTTACGTACTTGAAAAGTCCATTCAATCATACATGGATCTCTAAGTAAGAGAGGCTATCTTCAGATTTTATTCCGCCTCTTAGGATTGATTTTTATTTACAAAAATTGGTTTTAAAAAAATCTTTAATGCATAATAATAAAAGGGGGTTCAAGATGTAAATTTTGAATAATATCTTGAAACCAAAGGAGGATTTGAGTTGAAAACCTGAAAAGGCGGCTCAAATATTGAATGGTGCAACAACGATATAAGAGATGATTTTAAGTTCTTGATGAAGCACCACACATCCTAAATACGTTTCTAAGATTCTGGAATCAAGAAGTATTTCTATGAGATGAGCATAACAACCATTTCTTCAAGTTAGTAGATGCTCAAAAGGACATATATGCTGGATAAACCTGAGAGACCTTATTGTACCAGAATCAACCTACACCTTAAATCAGTCAATAATTTTGACACTTGTCATAGGACTATGATTTTTGAATGATTTAAAAGAGTAGTTGATTTATTTGATATTCATTAAACTCATTGTTTATGATTTGATTCAATTATGAACCTGTAAGACGCAAAACTTTACAAAATTATTTCATTCTTTGATAAAGAATGGAGAAAAAACATTTTTAAACAGGACAGTCTCAAATGAGGAAGGTCCTTGAAACAAGGTGTTATCTATTCTACTTCTATTGTAGAAAAATAATAAGTGATGCCAAAATGATGAAGCACTTCACATTCTTAAAAGCAAGTGGGTCGGGAAGATCAGGAGGGCTGAAGGAGAGAACTTGTAACACTCTCTTGTGACATTATCGGGCAATTTGATAAGAAGGGGATGATTGTCTCATTAAAAATGATCACATATCCCAATGAATAGCAAAAAGGCAAGAATGCGACCAGTTAAGAAGAATATGACCACCTCATTCAGAAAAGGCATGTATCAGACATTTATATCAAAAAGATTGATCACTTCTTAAGTTTATGACAATATGAAGAGAATCTTTACTTAATTGTTGTTTAGTAACACCATAACGAGAGTATTCAAGATAAATAGATTTGAGCACGAATAAAGCCACAATGATCCACAAATAGGGCATTATCAAAGTTGTACCTCGTGGGAATCATCAGATTCAAATTCAATGGACATTGAGAGTAAAACTTTTGACTTGAAGGTTGGAGGTCCATATTATCCATGTGGGGCATCCTGAAGGCTCATGTCAGCATGAAAAAGACTGAAGTAATCCATGTTGGGCATCTTGAAGGCTCACATCAGCATAAAAAAGACAGAAGTAATCCATGTAGGGCATTAAATCTAAAAATTTGAATTTTATTATTTTTAAATCATACCACTATCATATCTGAACCATAAAAGAAGCTATAAATGGAGAAGGCTTATTCGAAGGAGGGGAGAGGAACAAACAAGAAGAAAAAAATTATGTTTTGTAATGGGTATAAAAACCCTAAAAAAATCAATGTAATGGAGATTTCTGAAAGAAATAGAAAAAATAATAGTTCGAATCCAAGGTAATCAATTTTTTTCTTTGTTTTATTCCTTGCATGCATATATATATATATATATATAATATAAAAAGAAGAAGTTGGACTCATCTCGCCGATGTTGTTTTCCGTTGGGGTCGAGAATCTCGATGGCTTCGGATTTTGAGGCGTTAGGGAAGGCCATCATCGGAGCATGGTGGTCAAGTTGGTTTTAGTTTTGGTGTGCGGCGCTGCGGAGTAGAAAGAGGAAGATAAGAGTTGAATGGTTTTTACTTTTAGGTTAAGTTCACGTTTAAAATGAAAAAAGTAGAGAAGATATTATGTCTCATGCGAATTTTTGGGTAAATCACCTTAGGTCCCCCACACCTTGCTACGTTCTTGCATTTTAGTCTCTATTTTTGTTGTTTCTTTAATTTAAATGCTCTATTTGCACTCTTTGAAATCTGATCCTTTTTATTGCCTCCCTATTTAATTTTAAATTGGTAGCCATACTTTATTTTTGCATATTGGTCCCTATGTAAATTTTGTTGATAAACATTATATTAACTATTAATTATTAACAATTATTTTTAAAATTAAGATTTATGTGCTAATTTTTATTTTTCTTACACATCCCATATATTTTCTTTTGGTTCATTTTAGTCACTAGCTACTATGCAAAGGAAATTCATTTTATGTTTGTAATCCCTGTACTTCAGCTCTAAATGCATTTTAGTTCTGTTTTAGGTTACTTTCATATTATTTTGAGCCTTTTATTTTATTTGCATTATATTTTTATCCTTTATGTTTGTTTACTTATTAGACCAAATTATCCCTATTTATTCCGATAAATTAATTTCACAATCTATTCGATTTATTAAAATATACGCACTTGCCTTTTAAAACTTATTGTTAGTTTGTTTTAGTACCTGCATGTTTGACTTTCCCATTTGTAATTCATATATTTATTCTCATTTTATATTAATTTTGTGCACAGTACATCTATACATGTGTTAAGATTTCTTTAAATTGCTATATTTTATCTTGAATTACGTGTATGATATATATATATATATAAACTTTTATTGAAATATGCATGATATATATATAAATGTTTTACGCATTATACCTATATATTAACTTTTATTAAATCTCTTTGATAATATTTTTAGTATTGTTATCCGAATGTCTTTCAAGAACATATTTATAGAACGGACGTTGAAAGTATCATTTGATCAAAGTGGTATAATCTGATACGATGTTCGAACGAAATGAGAATAGATCTAGTTTATTTTACTAATTAAATCTTTTGTGATTCAAGACATTTGTATGTAGAAATTTATTTTGTTGTTTGCAAATTGTCGATAATTTATATTCTATTTGTGTTTTTTTAAATCAATGAGGATGAAATTTTCTTTATGAATAAGAAATAGATGAAATAGCCTTCCCGACAAAGGATTGTTAATGTCGAGATTTCTTTTCAAATTAAAGAATTTCTCTAATTAGTTAATTAATTTGAAACAAATTAATTAATATTCAATAAATGGATCATATCTTAACCATATATATTCAATTCATGATTTCTATCATTTACGACAATGTGTAAACAACACAGTATCAATTTGTTGTTGAGGGGGCTTGCATTCACGCAACCCCTATCATTTCTAAGTTATAATTTTGTTTTTCGTATTTTTTTTAACATGTATAGAGATTCTGTCGTGGTTTAAAATGTTTGAAAATCATAACATAATTCAGTTTACTGCTAAACAAGCCTATTTGATTCTAGTTTTATTCCTATCACCTTGAAAATCTTAAAACAAAGCTTTAATATGTCTATAACACTAAATAAGTGGGTACAAGTTTCAATATTTTAAATTGTGGCAAACCTATTTGATTTAGTTTATTCATATAATCATTAAAATCCTAAAATGTTTAAAGCAAAGTTTAACATATCTCTAAAACCAATATTGCTTGATAGACAAGCTAATCACTTTTCTTTTCAATAAATCTCCAAGTATAATAGTAGATAAAGTTAATTTTTGCATATAGTAGATAAAACTAATCTTTAGATTGAATATCATTTTGAGTATTTGGCATTGAAGTTTTTTTCCGAACTGGTTTATTCGAACCTATTTATCCGACATGAGATTCGATACAGACTCGAATATAATTGTATGAATTTGATTCAAAATTCAAAAACAAACTAGATTGAATCAAAATCGACCCGAATTCAATAAATTGTTGAAAAAAGACATTAACATCATCTATCAATTTGAACTGTTAAAATTTCAGTACTGATAAAATGATTTTTTAATCAAATTTTGGATATTAATTTAAAACATTCAAATATTAGAGAACAAGTTAAATGGTGTGACATATAGATGGCCCTATATCCCAAGTCGAATGAAAGATTAAGTTGACTAGTCTTGCATGTATTATAAAATGGACCTAACAAGGTTGATTAAAAGCATCTTTGCGTTTGGTGCAATGACGCAGCTAGTGAGGTAATAACCGAGCCGCGTCTATTACTGGTTGAAAACTATATCCAAACCCCCTCTTAGGTCTGGGTTCATTCTTGGCCTTCAAGAATTTTTAGAAGGACTCCCATCGGGGTAAAGCCCTGTGATATCTCGTTTACAAGAATTTCATAATCTCCAGAAGTACCAGCGTACTATATATAGGAAATTCGTAGAACTTTGTACATGACAAAGATGCCAATATGGAAGGGTCATTATTTTCTTTTCTGAACATGTCTAATGCGATGATGACAGACACTTTTTAAAGGAGTAGTGGTTACTATCATTCTTATGTGTTCAAGCGTTTAGTGTAAATTAGAAAAGTTAAAGCAATACTCTAATGTCATTTATCATGACATTATTGTTACTTAAATATCATTTATTATTATTCTTTTTGAAAAAAAATATTTGATAGGGGATATATTACACCCTAAACCGGTACGACACACAATTGACCAATTAGAACGTCACACAGGACCACCAGAGCGGCAACCCAAAAATTTCTTTTAAAATCACTCATAAAATAATAATTAACAATCATTTAAAAACTATTAAATCATATGAAATAGTCATAAGTTTGCAATAGTGGGAAGCTCCCAAATAAATGTCAAAAGTACATCGAGTATTCAAAAACAATTACGACTCAAGTACAAGAAGGTCTATGAATTATACATGCCCTCTGAATAAGTAGACTCAAGACGTATTGTGACCGCTTGGTTGTCTAGAACGTCTGTAACACGACCGACTCCTCTCGTTCACCACCTAAAGACCTGCGAACGGAAACACAATTTCGAACGTTGAGCTCACTAGCTTAGTGTCACACTAACAACAATGCCATATTAATAGTGTTCACAAATGCTCATGTTAACATAAGATAACTGAAGTAAGTATGCATGTACACTCACACTATCTAGGTTAGACATCATGGTACGACTGAGGGATTACTGCATCTCGGAGCTCGTGCACCCCTTTAGTCTATAGGGGATGTAAATCCAGAATTACTGCATCGGATTCGACACCCAATTAACCCACCCCTTGCAAGTGTTGAGGCCTTGACCCATGGCTAGTCTTAAGTGCCTTGTACACTTCCTAAGGATATCTTGACAGTCTATACGTCGTAGCTATCGACAACCGCTAAAGTAACAGGGTGTCCTAATCATTTTTTCGAGTGTCAAACAAGGCTAATATTATACCATCCTATTTATTTTATTCCTAGTTGTTCTCACTTAAAGTCTTATTCGAATATAGCATGGCGATAGTGTGATGTGGCAGCAAATAGAGATGTAATGGCAAAATAGGTGGAAATGTCGTGGCAAAATAAGTGTGTGTAATGAAATAAAGTGAAAATATAAAGGCAAAACAAAATGTAGATATCGAAATTGAATAAGATGACTTGATAATCCTCACATAACAAGCTACTATAGGAATGAATGATATGAGTCACTTGGGAAATTTAAGTCTAAATTCTCAAGATGATTTCATTTCTATGTTTTACTTGCCCGACAGAGTTTACTAAATGTGATATATGCTATCTTTAGTCAAGGGACTCAACAAGTTGAGAATGTCATGGCAATACATCTTCACGTTAGCAGGTGCAGGGATCCCATCAGTCTAACAAAATATGTCACTGCAATTCTATTAAGTATTCGCACTAACATTTACCCTCTCAATTGAGCACTACTCCTTTTAGTCGATTGAAATCCTAGCCTTATCATTAAAGGTGGATTAGGCTTAGTTACTATCTAAAACCCATTGCTTATGTTGATCCTCCTTAGTTTCTCTCGAACACTAAAGATGAGCTACTTAGTTTCTCTAGAACACTAAGTATTTTCCTAAAGAATAACTACTCTCATAGCTCCTACAACCTTAGGTCATTAAGTACATAAACAAAATAAATAATGTTGAGTTAATCGATCGACGGAATCGGCCAATACGGGGTGAATTGGCAATTAAAATTTTGGTGGAAGCTTTTGCAGAAAATTGAAGTAATTGCACAACGATTTAGAGTGGTTCGACTTTCTCAATCAAAGTCTATGTTCACTACCTTAGCTATCCACACTAAGGATTTTCCAAAAATTCACTAATTTATTATTTCTTTTGAGGCCAAAGAGATAACCTTACAACTCCCTCAAGAATATACCCCAATTCTTGAGAACACTCTTTCTCAAAGAGAATATTATAAATTTGCAAACTTAAAAGGAAATCCTCACAAGGTAGATTGTTTGCACAATTCTAGAACAAAGAAAAGAACACTAAAAAATGAATACAATTGAGTACAAGTAGTGTTCTTGAAAGCAAAATGAATATTGAATGAAAAATAGGCTTGAAATGCTCAAACTTGAGGTTTGATGCTTTCTCTTTGATTCTCTCTTGATTCTTGTTGATTGTTGTTTCTTGTTGTTGATCAATGGCTTCTAAGCTTGTTTAAATACACCTTCAAATGACTCTGAATGTTGGGGATGCTTAGTGGAGTCAATATAGCCGTTTAAGTGTGAAAACAATTAATAAATTCAGTTGGGAGCGTCAGTGCATCGATGCATACCCATGGTGCATCAGTGTAAAATTCAAATATTTTGACCGTTGGACCCTTAGTACATCGGTGCACTAAAAGTGCATCGATGCATCAAGTGCATTCGATGTTTCAAAATAGCCAGAGTGCATCGATGCATGGCTGGTACATCAAATGCATTCGATGTTTTCATAAAAACCTCATTGCATCGATGCATGGTATGTGCATCGATGCATGGTATGTACATCGATGCATGGTATGTGCATCGATGCATGAAATGCATTCGATGTTCAATTTAATTCATGGTGCATCGATGCATGGATTGGTGCATCACTTTAAAAAATTGATTTTAGGCTTGATTTTGGTTCAAAATACTTTGTGAAAATTGTTTCAAAAATATATGAAGTCTAAAACACAATTTTGCACATTTAGTAAGGTTTGAATTTGATCTTGAAAAGGCTTGGAGTAATTGATTTGATATTCGAATAATTGTGTCGAATATACTTATAAAATCATTTGTAAAATCTTAAAATTCATTTAAACTTAATTTGTTATATCGAAACATAAAAATGTTTTCAACAAATAAGATCATAGAAAAAGAACAATCATCCATTAAAGAAAGAACTTAAACATTCATAGTGAACTCCCACCAAATAAAGCTAGTTCATGGTGGGGTTCGAATAATCCATAAAATAAATCATAAAATACATTCATTCATTGCAACCCAAACCAAATGATAAATAACAGCAAAGGGAAAGGAGGAAAAAAACTTCGACGTGCACTGCCAGAGCTCTCCTCGGCCACCACGAACCACTTTAGCTAGCTAGCTCCTCTTAGACGCCTAGCTCGCCACTCCTTAGAGCTCGTTAATGGAGGAACACCACTAAAAAATAAAAGAAAGAAAACAATTGAGAAGATGAAGAAAATGGAGATTTCCAACTGGCGTGTAACCTCATTTTCTCTCTCCTATGCGGTGTCTTTAAATAATAAAAAATATCTAAGGGTATTCTTGGGTTTTTATATTCAAAATACGCATCATACCCCTAGAATCACTCCTTATGCATGAGGTTTATCTCCATAGGTGGCAGTGGTCCCCAGTAGGTGGTTGTAACCATTAGACACGTGCATTGCCAATTGTCTTTTTATAAAAGTATCTTTTTGTCCTTTTATGCACCAGAAATGCCAAGGTAATTCATTTTGCTTCAGAAATGTGTGATGCCACGACATTCTTTCCCAGCTCGTCATTTGCTTGTCATTTCAAGCACATCACTAAAAACCACACTTTCCTCCTCATACAACACCTTAACAAAATAAAATAACACAACCACCACAAATGCAATTATATGCACTACATGTATATAAAATAACCTAAATGAACCCTTAGACAAACAACAACTTAAGTGAAAAAAGCCTTAAAAGTAGCCATTTTACGGAGTTATCACGTTCTTAGGAACATAACTCTAAGTACGTTTCCCACTTTGGAGGTAAAAATTGATTATCAGGGGTTATTTTAGTTATTACGGATCTTGAGGTTAATTGATTTACTTATTAATCATTTGAACTTGATTTTTACCTTTTTAACAGTCTTCTAATTTCTTATGCGAGTTCCTTGAGTGTTATACAGTTTACTAAACTTTTACTAAATTCAGTTCTAGTCCAACAATAATTAACTATACAAAATTATCCAATAAAATTCATTCATTTAATAACCAATATCATCGTGTTTCGTAAAGTATGCAACTAGTAGTAATGTATTACCTCAATTTCTATGCACATCGGTCGACCAAATAAACTCCATTCGATCCCTCTCACACTTGAATTCCATGTCGCATAATATCTCAGATACATAGTAAAAGAATTTACGTCAAAACAAAACTTAATCAGGAAAACTATTAGAATCGGACATTAAAATGCTCTAATAACAAGCTTATCGAGTTTGAATTTGGGAAAAAAAACTTCGGATTCAGACTCAAGACATCGAAAAACATAAAATATAACTTTTCAAAAAAATTGACTTTTTGGTCAAAGTCAAAGTCAACTCTGGTCAGATTAACGGTCAACGGATCAGTCAGCACGACTCGACTCGGTTAATGACTCGACTTAGAAGCTTAAACGGTTCAACTCAAAGGCTTTAACGGCTCAACTCGACTAAAAAAATAGACTGGTTCGGGCGATTTAACTCAGCGAGTTGACTCGGTGAGTTTCCAGAAAATTCGACCGGCCGTGAAGCACCACGCGTTGGGGCAGCACATGACGATACATACAGAGGTGGCAAGGTCAGTTTTGGGTGACTGATTACTCCTCAGACCATGTTGACGACAGAGAAAATGGTGACGGTATGGTGAGCCATTGGTTAGGTTCTAATCGAGACTGGACGAGGAGTCCAATGATGGCAACAGTGAGACGAACAGACGTATGACGTGACCAGAAATCGCCAAAAATAATATCGGTCCTTAGGATTCTAACAAGGCTTCGCGAAGCCCTCCACGATGAATGGCAATGAATCTCAATGAACGACCAGCAGGGTCTTGATCGGGACGAGACGACGCTTCAGCTGGTAGGAGCGATGACGGTCACTGGCGAGTCACGACCGAGATCGATGATGGGTTCTTCGAGTGTTTCTTCCCCGTTTTATGACGAACGACAACGGGTTTGTGTAATTTACGATCAGGGTTAGGGACGAGGGGTGACACTGGAGTTGCCTATGGTGGCGATGTAGGCCACCGCCGGTCAGAGACGGGTGAACGACGATGAGCAGTGGTTATGTCGAGTTAATTTCTTATTGGTTTGGTTTTTCTCCCATAAACAGATCGAAGAGGGGGAAAATTATTAAGTCTGAGCTAGGTAAGTTATAAAAGTAGCTTTTATTATTTTAATAAACTAATAATAACCTAGCTTTATGGTAGAGGCATGGGCACCCATTCCTCACAAGTTACGGGTTCAATTCATTTGAACCACAATTTTATCATTTTTTACAAAAGCTAGAAGGGATGGGTAAATTCGGGTTTAAGTCCTTAAGCTGACACAACAACCAGTATACTTCAAAAGTCATGCATTTTTGTCCCCAAAACATGCTAATTAAACATTTAAAATAAAGCTACAAAATTTGGGTGTGACAATAAAGTTGAAGAACTATTACTAAAAACCATAAGCTATAGAGATTGGGAAGAATTAGAAATAGGTGTTTTGAAATATGAGGAGATAAACAATCTTCTTGAAACATGTCAATATTTTCTTGATAAAGGAACAACATATCATATTTTAGTAAAATTATATAGATTATGTTTATATAGTAAAGCTATAATTATATTACCAAGAGAAATATTTTCAAAAATAGATAGAATAATTTGTAATCAACAAGCTCTATTCAAAAATGTTTTTTCTGAATATTTTCTACAAGCTTATGTCTATACAAATATTATTGGAGAAAAAATTACAATAATTAAATTTAGACTGGATCATGAACCGTTCGATATAAAAAGTATTGAATGGGGTTTTGTTAGAGAAATAATTGTTCAAAACTTTTCTTTTCATCATTTGAAAGATTTTATAGCCTTTATAAAATCTAAGTTATATACTTATATTTCTCAAGATGATCATTATTATTATTTTCATCTTAATATAAATAGTCTAACCGGGATAGCTGAAAGAGAAAAATTCTATCAGTCATACCAAATTTGGACTTTTACTAAGGTACTTGGAGGACCAAGACTTTATGTAGTAAATGAAGACAAAAAAATGTTATAATAATATGATTTACTATCAGATCCAAGCAGGAATCGATCTAAAAGCATAAGCAAGAAATATATTTGGACTGATGGCGAAGAATATTTGTACATCAAAATTTTATGGGTAACACAACAGACATTGAAGCCATAAATCTATTACAAAACATAGTTGACAAGGAAATTGAAGACTACCTAAATAATATAATCGAATGAATAAACTACTCATGGGAAAATTGGAACTCACCACCATTGTCACCACAATCTTTAAACTTGGACGAAATCAAGACCATGAATTTGGACAACATGCTAGAAGGGTGAACATGATAAAAAGTCATAAAAGTTGTGTAACACCCTAGACCAGTACGACACACATGCGACCGATTTAAGGTGCTCCACGGAATCACCAAAGTGGCTGACCAACTTTTCTTACTTTCTTTAAATATAAACAACTGTAAAATAAACTAAAGAATAAATAAAATCTTTACACTAAGGAGCTCCAAATTAAAATATTTACACTTTACAAAAATAATATAGACCGCTCTACTGAAACTACGACTCAATTAGATAATAAAGTTTACAAATATACATGCCCTTTCAAAAATGCTATGACGTACCCCTAAATCTGCACTAGTCTGAATTGGGTTTTGGTCTATCTACTACTAATCTCCTGTTGGATCTATTGACTTGCCCACGGAAACAATATGAAGGCTGAGCTAACTAGCTTAACGACACACTAATAGCTAAAACATACAAATTGTATATCACTTAAAGGCTAGCTATCAAGTCTACTAATCTGATCTTCTTAGTGAATATCCTTGTGATACTCACTCTCTAGGCTATTATAGACATCATGGTGCGGCTGAGGGATTTCTGCATCTCGGAGCTCATGCACCCTTCTAGTCTACTGAGATATGGCCTCAGGAATTCTACATTGAACACCATACCCCTGACTAACCCACCCCTTACGAGTGTCAGACCTTGGCCTTAGTTAGTTGGTTTTGGTCTTGCACTCTATCTAAGGATATATCCAGACTGAATCTATACTTTTGAATCCACTAGCTTTTCTAAAGGAACTTGGGTGTCTGAATTGTTTCTCAAACATCAAACAAGACTAATCTTAATTATCCCTAATTATTTGGTTTCTACGTTTGAATTAACATTAATATTATTCCACTTGTAGTCTTATTTGATGATATAATCAAGTGTGGGGTACCTCGTGTCTAAATCCTCAAAAACTAACCTTTTTCCCCAAAACACATTGAAAGTATCGATATTATCCCTGGAGTATCGGTACTCCTGCTAAAGTTTCAATACTTTATATAAGTACCAATACTTTTAAACATTCTGTTATGCCTAGTTTCGATAATTTCTTGGAGTTTTGAAACTTTGACCCAAAGTTTTGATACTTTTGTAAGAGTTTCGATACTCTTAACCAAAAAACATGAGTTTACCCAGAAACAAAGAACAAGTATCGATATTATCCCTATAAAATCGATACTCTACCTGCATAAACCATAAACAAGCATGAAAACATATATTTTTCAAACCCAAATACCCTAGTGAGGCCCCCAAACGTTCTTAAAGTCTTATGTGATATTAAGGGAGCATAAATAAGGATTAGAAACATGCTAAAAACATTAAACATAAAATCTACTATGGAAGGTTAATAAACATGCTCATATTCAACTTTCAAGCTAAAATTCTTTCTAATGATCCTACAACTGGTATGGAAAAACTAATAGTATGTTACATGGATTATTTGGATGCTAGAACACTTCTTGAATCAAATAGGGATCCATTCTTCCTTTTCCTCTGGCTTTAACTCTCTCTTCAACCTCTTTAAATCAAGATATAAAAATAGATTACTTACTTAACTAGGTGTTGGATAAAGCTTAGATATACTCCCTACAACTCAAACACTCTCCTAAAATGACTTAAAAGACTTTATTTCTAAAAACCCATAAAAAACATTTTTGAAAAAACTAAGCCAAACCTTGAAGTTTATGGCTATAATAAAGCTTAGAAGATGAAGAATATATTTTTTACCTTGATTTCTTCAATCTAGGCTTATGTTTCCTTAGAGCTTGATCTTGGCTAAGTAAAAGAAATGAAGAAGAAGAGTATGGAGAAAAAGAAAATGGGAAGATATTTTTAGGGAATGACTCACATGAAAAATAAGGGAGATAAGGGACTTTTTAACTTTTAAAACAAGCTACTGGTAAACTACACTTTTTGTCATTCTCTCTTTAACTCGTTTTTAAAAACACCACTGTCATTTAACTATTGGGCCAACCTAAGCCCAATACCCTTTTTGAACTGGTCAAACTATGTTAATAGGTCTAACTGGCTTGACTTATGGGTTTCGGGTTGACTCAAACTACTGACTCGGGTTCTAGGGCATTGCAAGTTGTCAGAGCCTTAAAAAGAAGAAAGGCAATACAAGATATGGAAGCTACCACAAAGAGAAAAGTACAAGATGTGGAAACCACCACAAGAAGACAAAAATTAAAAGCACTAACACGTGGAAGAGTATTATGGCATACTTCAAAATAAATTGAAAGCAACTATGAAATGAAGCCTATAAAAGGAGAAGCTTGCAAGCAAGTAAGGCACATTTAGCATCAACCTATCCTACTACAACTCTCTCCAAGCATAGTTTTCTTGTAGTCTTTCGTTCTCTTTCTTTTGTATAACCCTCCTCTACCCCTTGTATAAATTTTAACAGAAATGATGGTAAGAGTTGAATTTGATATATGATTTTAGGACTTTGAAGAGCCCCAACTATAGGAATATCCTTTGATATAGATAAGTTTTAGAGGATAAAATTTGGAATTAATTGTAATTTTTTTGTAAACTAGTAATTGTAGGGCTTTACCCTAAAGATATCCCTTTCAAAAATTCTCGAAGGCTAAACAAAACCCAAGCCTATGAGGGGGTTTAGAAATAGTTTTCAACTAGCAGTAGACACGCATCGGTTAATACCTCACTAGTTGTTACAGTTCTCAAGTGCAAATATGCTTTTAATCAACCTTGTTAGCTCCATTTTATAATACATGTAAGACCTGTCAATTTATTCCCCACTCGGTATGGGACATAGGGGACAATTTATACAGTCGACGACGACAATAATTTTGTTTGTATTACATTTATATAAATACAATGATTATAATAACCATTGAAAGAAGCTCAACCTCAATGTTAATTGACCTCAAAACCATATTCATCAAGACTGACAAATATAGATTCATACTCGAAAATTCTTTCGTGTTTACCCGAGCCTGTAACGATTTGAACCTGAGAAACTAAATTTGAAAAATTTTAAATTGAAAAGAAAAATCTGAGTTGAAGAAATTATGAGTTCAAAAGAATTCAAATATGATAAAACCCAAATCTCAAAACAGGTTGTGTTGGCAGCATAAATAAGTGTGAGCATCTGAAATCATTTATTCTACTAATTCCTACTTGGTGTAATGCAAAATAGGTGTTCAACTTCGTTGACCAGCTCTAATTTCTCGAACATTGACAAAAAGGATGTGGCATAGGCCGACAATTAGAAGTCTTTTAAGTATAACGTCTATGCCGCGTTTTATCTTGATGTGCCAAGGATTGTTGGAAAATAATTCATAATTTTAAAATTTTGAATGAGAAATTGATTTAAATGTTGTTGAATAAAACATGGAACTAATTGTTGGTTCATATATGTACAGACGTGTACAATGTGAATAACGTAAATGTTCAAACCGAACATGCACTCCGTGGACTTGCAGATATTTTAACTCAAATTTAAAATATTTTTCTTAAATAAAGCATATCTTTTCAAAATTTAGTTTTAGAATTAAAAGGTTTATTTAATTTGATGCTTGAACCTATAACTTCTAGAAAAAATAATAATTTCTTTATCTATTGATGTAAGTTAATTCGTGCATATTATTTTTTAATTGTTAATATTTTATTTGATCTTTAGAATAAATAAGTGAAAGTTTTGAATGTTTGTTTTTAATTACCTCCCGTTGAGAAAATTATTGATTCAAGATGAAAATGATAGTATTGATTATTATAAATAATAAGAATAAATAAATCTAATTTAAAAATGTAATTATTATAAACAAATATGAGTATTTTGTTACGTAGTCACTATTTAAAAGTAAATTATCTTGAACCAATCAAATGGTCTTATTGTCAGAGGCGAACGTAAGAATTTTATGTTAAGGATGTGAACTTGAACTTATAATATTTCATGAGGTAAACTTGAATTTATAAAATTTTTAAGGGCAAAATAGATTTTCAATAAAATATACAAAAAATATAAAATATATGGTAATTTTATATTTTTAGGACGCGACCATCTCTGTCTAAGTCCATCACTGCTTAGCCTATAAAATAATTTTTTAAATGGTCTGAAATAATTAAAAGGTTATATATGTTTAAGATTTTTTAATTTATTAAAACGTAAACATTTTATAAATATTACTATTTAGATCCCGAATCTCTAATAAAATTAACATTCATTTCTATCACTGACTACTTGTACAATAATAAGAAAATTTAACATAGACACACAAGGCCGCATAAATAGGCCCGTCTCTTTTACGTCCAATTGGAAAGAAGAAAAATCAGAAACCCAAATGAAAGCTCAACCCACGAACTTACCAAATACCTAAAGAATTCAGAAGGACTTTTCTGTGTGGAGATCTTTCTAGAAGCACAGATCTTTCTAGATTTCGCTAGCCGGGGTTGGACACTCAATTACATAAACTCGCTTAGAACTTTATAAAATAATAGGGAAAACCCTAAATAAACAAAATCAATTTTGTTATGAAAAAATCGATAATTCACACGTACCCTCATTAATAAAACGCCCGTAACCCTCTTTCTTGGCTCCGTGACGTTGTTTCCATAGTACTCTCTCTGGAACGTATAAAAAATTTCCAGTACGCCTATATCCCCCCGTCTTCCCTTTGAAGGTATGGTCGCCGCCCTTTGCTCTTTACTGTTTCGTCGATTTTGTTGATTGTTGTTGGTGCATTAACTTTTTTTCCGTCAGGAATTCGTAGATCTGTTTAGTTCTAGATTAGACGCGTCGGTCGAGTATTTTGTTTTGGAAAAATTCGCATTCATATCTGTTTCTCTTCAGATTTAGCTGTTTCCAGAGGATCAGGTAGTTTCATTATTCGATTTCTAACATTATGATTCTTTTGAGATGAAAAATAGCTCATTTTTAAAAGATCTTCCCTTGTGTTTTTGTGTATTTCTTCTTCAGATTCAACTCCCTTTCTCGTTGGAAATTCTTTGATGTTTAAAGTAGTTATTTTAAGTTGTTTTGAACGCTATTTCGAGTTTGTCATCGCAAGCAGTTTTCATTTCTGGTTAATTTTATTTAAAGGAGGCGTGTTCATTTTGGATTGATATGTAATTGTAAAAGTTTGTGTTTGTTTCTAATTGTTTGATTCATGTATGTGCATTACTTGCATTATTTAGTTTTTTTTTCCAACTGAAGTGTTGCAATTTTAACTTAAAATGGGAACTAAAGAGGGGAATCTTTGTTGTATGTATTAAAGAGTAATCACCTTATGAGCTCAAGCCCATGGAAGTTGACATGGAATTTTGAGCAGCAATTTGTTGCTCATAAAAAATGGGTATATACTTATATCACCGCCGTTGATGTGATGTGTTACTAATTAATTGTGCAATTATGGTGTTCCAATTGCTATATTTCGTGGCTCCATGAACTCAAGCCCATTGAATTTGACATGGAATCTTGAGCAGTGTTTTTTTTTTTTGCTCACAATAAGTGGGAATATACTTTTATCACTGTGATTGATGCGATATGTTATTTATTAAATGTGTGATTACTACAATAGGTTTCATGCTTTAATATTTATATTTATGTGTATATTCATACGTGTAATCTCATTGCCTTGTTTTATTGGATGCCAGATTGATTTTATTTATAAAGTAAAAGTTGTGTAATTTCTGCTGAAAATGAGCGTTGTTGGGTTTGATTTTGGCAATGAGAGCTGCATTGTTGCTGTTGCGAGGCAAAGAGGAATTGATGTTGTGCTTAATGATGAATCAAAGCGTGAAACTCCAGCTATTGTTTGCTTTGGGGACAAGCAGAGGTTCATTGGTACTGCAGGGGCAGCATCTTCTACGATGAACCCTAAGAATTCAATTTCTCAGATCAAACGGTTAATTGGCCGTCAGTTCTCAGATCCCGAGTTGCAAAGAGATCTGAAGTCATTGCCCTTCAATGTCACCGAGGACCCTGATGGTTATCCTTTGATTCATGCTCGGTATTTAGGTGAAATGAGAGCTTTTACCCCAACCCAAGTTTTGGGAATGGTTTTGTCGGATTTGAAAAGCATAGCTGAGAAAAATCTGAATGCAGCTGTGGTGGATTGCTGCATTGGAATTCCTGTTTACTTTACCGATCTTCAAAGAAGGGCAGTCTTAGATGCTGCTACAATTGCAGGCTTGCACCCCCTTCGCTTGATTCATGAAACGACAGCAACAGCACTGGCTTATGGTATTTATAAAACTGATTTACCTGAAAACGATCCATTACATGTTGCCTTTGTTGATATTGGACATGCTAGCATGCAAGTCTGTATTGCTGCCTTCAAGAAGGGGCAACTCAAGATCTTGTCTCATTCATTTGACCGCTCTTTGGGTGGTAGGGATTTTGATGAAGTTCTGTTTCAGCATTTTGCTGCAAAATTTAAAGAGGAATATAAGATAGATGTCTTCCAGAATGCTAGGGCTTGTATTAGGCTTCGGGCAGCTTGTGAGAAGCTGAAGAAGGTACTTAGTGCCAATCCTGAGGCTCCTTTGAATATTGAGTGTTTGATGGATGAGAAGGATGTTAGGGGTATCATCAAGAGAGAGGAGTTTGAGCAGATCAGTGCTTCAATTTTGCAACGTGTGAAAAGGCCACTTGAGAAAGCTCTTGCTGATGCTGGACTTGCTGTTGAAAATGTTCATATGGTTGAGGTTGTTGGCTCGGCCTCTCGTGTTCCTGCTATGCTGAAAATCCTCACAGAGTTCTTTGGTAAAGAGCCTAGGCGCACAATGAATGCTAGTGAATGTGTTGCAAGGGGCTGTGCTTTAGAATGTGCAATTATTAGCCCCACATTCAAAGTTCGAGACTTTCAGGTAATTTTCTTTAAGTTATTGTGATAATTTTGTTGTTGTATTGTGTGTTATCTCAGCTGTGCATTTTGATGGTTCATTATCTAGAATTTGATTGTATTGTGGTATGTTTTCAAGCTGTTACTTTTCTTTATTCCCTTGATGCAAGATTTTTTCTTGCACCTTTTTCATTCCTCGTATTTCCATTGTTGTTGCTCCATGTTGTATAGTCAGATGCTTGTCCTTTTTCCTCCTTTTGCTGTATTTTGTGCTCAGCTGACCTCTTAATACCATTTTATTTGAAAAGGTCAATGAGAGCTTCCCGTTCCCAATCTCACTATCATGGAAGGGTTCTGGTCCAGATGCTCAGACTGGAGGAGCGGAACAACAACAACTGGTTTTTCCAAAGGGAAATCCGATTCCTAGTGTCAAGGCTGTGACATTCCACAAATCGAGTACTTTCTCCGTTGATGTCCAATATTCTGACGTTAGCGATTTGCAGGCCCCAGCAAAGATCAGTACTTACACGGTAATAAATTCATAAACCTTAATCGAACTCTTCTGATTAGCCTTTCCTCTCTTTTTATTTCAGCATGAGGCTAACTTGCTTTTTTGTTCAACTTTTTTTATTTTTTATAACTTGTGGCATTTGTTAAATGGCAGATTGGCCCGTTTCCAACAATAAGAAATGAACGACCAAAATTGAAGGTCAAAGTTCGTCTGAATTTGCATGGGATTGTGTCCATTGAGTCGGCCACAGTAAGTAGTTGTTGAATTAACTTCTTCAAATTTAATTACATCTGAAGTGTGATTCTTCTTTTTTGTCACTGTCCTGACTTATTGTAATTTTAGCTCTTGGAAGAGGAGGAAGTTGAAGTTCCAGTTTCAAAGGAGCCACAAAAGGATGATTCTAAGATGGAGACTGATGAAGCACCTACTGGTACTGCTGCTCCCAGTGTCAATGAGACGGATGTTAACATGCAAGATGCCAAGGGTACAGCTGATGTAGTAGGGACTGAACGTGGTGTTACTGAGTCTGGTGACAAGCCTGTGAAAATGGAGACTGATACTAAAGTAAGTTATTTTTCTCTGTAGTATATGCATGAACTGCCAGAGTTGGTGGTTCGGTCATCTGAAGGCAGGATAACTCCTGATTCAAAATGTTCGGTGTGATTGGTACTTATGTGGAATACTTTTGGGGCCCTGGTTTCTTGCATGATTTGGTCGGTTGGTTTATGTTTGCTGTTCTGCCTGTCACATAGGTTGAAGCTCCCAAGAAGAAGGTGAAGAAAACAAATGTCCCTGTGGCAGAGTTGGTCTATGGTGCAATGTTGGCTGCAGATGTTCAAAAGGCTGTGGAGAAGGAGTTTGAAATGGCTTTGCAAGACAGGGTTATGGAAGAAACCAAGGATAAAAAGAATGCTGTTGAGGCTTATGTATATGATATGAGGAATAAGGTATGATGTTGTCTACTTGTTTTCTGAAGCCTAGAACTGTTTCTTTGCTATTATGATCTTAAAACTAATTATTCCTTCTGTCATCACTCTTCAGCTTAGTGATAAATACCATGATTTTGTTACTGCTCCGGAGAAGGAAGAGTTTATGGCCAAGCTTCAGGAAACTGAGGATTGGCTATATGAAGATGGAGAGGATGAAACAAAGGGTGTTTATGTTGCCAAGCTTGAAGAGCTTAAGAAGGTGATTCTTGCTCTTCTTCAGACTTCTCAGGTTGATTATATACATCATGTACCTGACAGATTGTCTTGATTTTGAAGCAAGGGGATCCTATTGAAGAACGTTACAAAGAGTATACTGAGAGGGGAACTGTCATCGATCAACTTGCTTACTGTATTAACAGTTACAGGGAGGCTGCCATGTCAAATGATCCCAAATTTGATCACATTGAAGTTGCTGAAAAGCAAAAGGTGGATGCTTGGTCCCTTAACACTCTTCACTCGCTTCTGTTAGTTATTGAGATCTAATACTTTTGGTGTATTGCAATTAATAGGTGTTGAATGAGTGCGTGGAAGCCGAGGCCTGGCTGAGAGAGAAAAAACAACAGCAGGACCAACTTCCCAAGTATGCCACTCCAGTTCTCTTGTCAGCTGATGTGAGAAAGAAAGCTGAAGCACTAGATAGGTATCACCACTATTTCACATGCTTAAGGTTTTGTCCTCGTGTATCTGATATCATACATGTTCTTGTCTATGTTTGATATGATGCCTGGTTCTGAGATATAAACATGCGGTAAACAGGTTTTGCAGGCCGATAATGATGAAACCTAAGCCAGCTAAACCAGCCTCGCCTGAAACACCGGCAACCCCACCACCCCAGGGAAGTGAGGGTCAGCCCCAGGATGCAGATACCAATGCTAACCCAAATGCAAGCCCCAACCGCAGCAATGTGCCTGGTGAAAATTCAGTCCCAGGCAGCAGTGAGGCACCTCCGGCTTCTGCAGAACCAATGGAAACCGACAAGTCAGAGGGTGCTTCTAGTACTGCTTAAATCATTAGCTTGGTTGGTGTGCGTTCTTATGTATGACCACTATTTTCGAGAAAGCTGGAGACCAACTCTTGATCCGTTTGGATACGTTATCGGTTGTGTTATTTAGGGTCATAATTTTGAATTCGTAAAGCCCTTCACTTTGAAGACCGAGTCAATAGAATCCTGGTTTTATCAAAGAGGGTTTTAAGAGAAAAAAAGATACCCCTATTATTATGGTTTCCTTGCTAACATTGTTTTTGTTAGTGGGAGGCTAAATGTTTAGGATTTTGTGGTCGGATTAGTAAGTAATCAACATTTCTGCTGTGGGTACTGTTAGTGGGTTTTCTTCAATTCAGATTTCACTTTATATCCGGATGTTTAGTCTTTTGATGTATTTGGCCCTCAACCGAGGTGACCGATGATTGAATGGTTTTGCCTTCCAGATTTTCCAATTTTTCGAATATATTCCTGAGTACCGAGTTCTTTTTCATTGTCCTATTTTCTCTTCCGTTTATTCTAGGTAAGTCTATTCTTGGTTTCTAAATTACTCAAATTTTACCATTAATTTTTTTATTCGACAAAAGATGTGGGTTTTGCCATGCTCTCTTTGAATTTCGAAATCAGTTCCTATCAAAATAATATAGTTACATAGGATGTGGTTTCTAATTTTGAAATGATCCGGTTGAAGAATAGAACCAACATGATATTTTTTTTTAATAAAAATCAATCCACTGCATTACCTTCTCATACAACACCAAGACATCTAAGCACTCAGCCATTCACCTCAAAAAACCAATGATGTTTACCTAAGCACGGTATCTTGTTTTTTTCCAAGTTTGAATGCCGGTGAAAGTAACTGCCAAAAGCACGAAAGAATCGCAGGTGAACTAAAATTACACAAGGTATGACATATAATTTTTTTTATATATATATATATATATATATATATATCATAAATAAAATTAATACTTCATATAAAATAAAAAATAAAATTCACAAGTAAATCACAATATTAAATTATCAAATCTCAATACTCAAACAATAAATTGAGTCTAAAACAATATTAAACAACACAAATCAAACATTGCTAAAATATTATGAGATCCAAATTATTCCTACTAAGTCGGTGGATAAAGAAATAAGTACTCCAATATTTATTCTTTTTTAGTACCTAAACTTTATTTTTTTAAATCGTACATAACTTTTAGTTTAAGTTACAATTTGATATCCCATTGTTAAATAATTATAGATCTATTGACATTATACTTCTTACTTTTACTCGATGATATAACATTATTTTATTATAACACATTAATATTACCGTAATGTATTTAAGGTTAGATATTATTTTGAAAAAAATAAAGTTTAGATACCAAAACCATACAAAAATAATAATTTATGTACTAAATGAGTAGTTTACCCAAGTCGTTTTTTATTCTTTCTAATTTTTGTCGTTGCCCATTTTCAGCCTCCTCCAGCTGATGGAAGCTCATCAATGCCTCCTCTTTTATCTACCTCCTTTGACTTCCGTTTCAACTCGGTAATTCCATGGCGAATTGTTTCTTCCTTCACTTATATATGCTGATCGCTTTCCGCTTCAAATAATCAAACCCCTTTTGTTTCTATGGATCATAGAAAAGGGTTTTCAGATTCCAGCAAAATCAGCAGCACCTGCTGCATCCTCGCCGTCGAAACGCTTACTTCATTGAAACTGTTGAGTACTCCTGAGTCCTGACCGGGGACGCATGTGATAGTCACATGCTGTCCCCGAAAAGTCCCCCGCTAAACATCGAAACATCCCTGAGTTCATTCAGTCGTACTCAGCCACGTGTCACGTCCCCGGTACGTATCCCAGCCGAACATATCAGGTACTGAAACGTGGGAATCAGTGCCATCCCAGTGCTTCATAGATGACAACCGTGTTATTATTGTCTATCATGATAACAGTTTCCAAAAGGCTCCCATATAATTGTACAATATTTAGCAGTCAAAATCAGATGAATGTCATTAAGAAGATAACTGGATTTTTTATTACACACTAGCATTCTCGGCAGATACATCATTTGCCTCATAGTCACCGCCCTGCATTTTCGCGATTTCAGCTTGCGCTCCCTCCATAATCTGCCTCTTCTGCATTTCCATCTCTGTGTGAAAATCCATTCTCATCTTCTCTAATTCCAACATCTGCTGCCTTTTATTATTCTCAATCTTTTCATATATGTCGCTAAATTTCTGAATTGAATCTGCAAGCAGTCTGACCGAAGAACCCTCACCAGATTGCCACCCCAACCTTCTCTTCTTAGGTGGCAGTCCATCTGATACATCCTCTTCGCCATCAGAGGATTCAGAATTTGCTGGACTATCCCTCATTTCATCCAAACCATTTGCACGGTTCAAATAAACCCGAGGGTTCATGAATACATATTCACCCGAGTCGAACCCACAAGAGAGCTGGCCCTGCTGTGGAGGACTTGACATCAACATATCCATCTTCTTGAAATAAACCCATTTGCTAGTGGTAGCACCGGTGCCTGCCAGCATGGCCTTCTCCTTTTTATATTTCTTCTTCAATGTATCCAACCGATTCCGGCATTGTGTCTCGGTCCTTTCAATCTTTGATATCTCTGAAACCTTTTCTGCCACTTCTTGCCATTCCTCGGTCCGAAGACTCTTCCTCCCACATCGCAAAAAGCGGTCACCCCAGGCATCTAGCAAAACAAATGTCTCATGCTCAGTCCAATCCGCAAGAGAATTCCTCCCACCATATGAGGGCTTTAGCACCGATGGAGCTGCAACTGCCACTGGGGCAGGTACTCGAGGAGCAAATTCATAACTCGACACCAAACTCTTCAATTTCCTCTTTTTTGGATGCCTCTCCAAGTCACCACCTTCATTATAATCATCCTCATCATCTTCCATCAAGTCATCATCATCGTCGTCATTATCATCCACACCTTTTCCTACATACCGAACACCATTAATTTGGTTAAGATTTTCCTCTTCCTCCCCCAAATTTTCCCCTTCATCGTCGACGTCTTCGTCGTCATCAACATACTGATTCCTTATCGGTCTAGAAAAAGGAACATTTCTTACGGGAAGCTTTTGGCGATTTGAAGAACCATAACCCTGCCGGTGGCTAACACGATAAGGATTTGGAGGATAACTAACACCACCCTCAATGTCATCCATTAAAATAAAAAAAAAACTCAGCTTAACAATGAGACAACAGTGAAGTAGCCCTAACAAAATCCAACCAATCTTAAAAAAGAACTTCCAATTCCATATGCTTCCCCTACACCTTAGGGTTTCCAGTTCCCAATTTGCTCTTCCTCATTCAATAAATCTTCAAGAACAACATAAAAGCCGTTATAGTTTCACCAAAAACAATCCATTCTCATCAACATTCCTAAAAGCCTTGAATCTTTTCTTGTAAAAGGAAATAATTTGCAAAATTATGCATCCACCTTTAAAAGATCAACTTTTTTCTACACTAAATCATGCGATTCTCAATCTTTCAACACCCAAGTTCACAAAATCAAACCCCTCTAGGTTAGGTTACCAAATGCAGGAAAAAAAGGTAATAAATTCCCAACTCCTTTCTTTTACTTTCCAGCTTTTGGCCACTGATTCATCCTTCACCCACCAAAACAAAGATCAAATTCCAATAAAACCCTTATAAGATCAATAATTAAGAAAACGTTATAACAATTCAGATTCCAGCTAGAAAGAAAAAAACAACAGCAACCCAATCAAGATTTACCTACCAAAGTTCTCGAAATGCCCAGACGTCTACTAAAAATAAAACTTCAATTGAAGCTCCAAGAAGCATCTAGCTCAAAAATTCATGGAGATTGAAACTGTTCATTCCTGTTTCTCTTGGGAAGGTGATTTGAGACGGAAGGGGAGAAAAACAAGCTGTGGTTGTGGGCGGTGTAAATAATAATAATAATTGGGGGGATAAAAAGAGGATTGCTGCAACTGTACGCCTCGTTATATTCGTAAATTTTTTGGATAACAGGCCTTGATATTTACAGCCTTGATATTAAAAGACGACTTTTATTTATTTATTCTTTTACCAATGACAACTGAATTTTATGAATGATCTAAATTAAGATGCATCAAAATAGGATGATATTTGCGATTGTATCTGTGGGACGATTCGGAATGAAGTTCATACGACTTCTGGTACAACATTTGGGTTCCATTAGTGGGTTTATTGGCTCCTCATTTTATTGGTAGTAGCCTTCCAACTCCTACTAATGTTGCCTCCCTTGTGAATGAATCGGGGAGTGGGATTTGCTAAAAGTCCTAATCCCGGATCGAATTATCAGACTTCTCATGGCCATGAGACTGCTGACCTGTATTGTTGGGGACGACACTCCTGGATAGCGGTGGGAAGGTAATAAACATTTCTCTACTCGATCCGCTTATCGTTATCTTCAAGATTATAGTGCTATGGTTTCCAATAGTAACTGAGTTTATTTGGCGCAAAGAGATCCCTCAAATAATTCGTGCGTTCCTATGGCTTGCAAGAGGACAAAGGCTCCTAACGAACTTGAAACGACATCGTCGACACCTTACGACCTCCTCTTTATGTCAAATTTGCAAGATGGGTGAAGAATCTGTCCTTCGAGCTTGTCCTGTGACCCGCAATATTTGGCCGGCGTTGATCCCGGATAATAATTGGAATGTGTTTACAAATTTTCCCTTCGAACCTTGGCTGATGCCAAACCTCCGTGCTTGGGGTGACTTCCCTAATCCGAAAACTAATGGGAAATAAGCATAATTTTGTTATTAGCCATTTTCCGTAAACAATTGCGTGGAGATTTATCGTCTTGTTCTCTTCTCTCATTAACTTTGCTCTTTCCGAAACATAAGACAAGTACGAATCAATCATTAAATTTTTGTTTTCTCTCGTAAAAGCTCAACTCATATTGTCTAAACAGGGACCATATACATCAAATTTTATATAAGTTATTAATATGTTTAAAACGATTTAAATATATGTTTTTGAAGTTAACGGAAAATATAATACTATTAGTATGAAATGATGTTAGAAGTCACAACGTTGACTATACATTTCAGGCATCCATTGAAAAGTAAACAAAATAACCAATAGTTGACGCCCAATTCAGTAGCCAATTGTTGTGGGATCGGGATGGGCTGATTTTGAAATTTTTTTATTTATTATTTTTTTGGTAGGCTCTTAGATATTTTTTGTATGGTGGTAGATAATGTGTAGTATTTACATAGAAAAAGCGTGCACTTGTAGCATTGGCTCTCCCCTTGTCCTCAATGAGTGTTATCACTTCAACTACAACAGGGTTCGAGAGCTGTTAACGAAACAAATGGCCATTTTCGTATACTATCAATATATTAAATTAATATTCCATATATTATCTATATATGAATCTCATACTCGTTGATATATCAAAATTCGTTATCTTCTTAAATATTTATTTGAGGAATATTTATTTATTATTTTATTTATTGATGAAGCGATAGAATATGATATACTGATGATGCATGGTATTTATGCAACAATCATACAATTTATATTAAAATATTATATATTGAATTTTCCTTTATTGAAACAAACTTTTTATATTAACCTAATGTAATTTGCCGATGGAGAGCAAAGGTCACGTTCTATTACAAATCCATATTACCATTTTTGTTAGAGTTCTGTGAAATTCCAGACATGTTCTGTCTGCATGTTGGAATTCTGGCCAACAACATTAGGTACAGGATTTTGGGTTAGACCAGATACAGCAGGCATTCCAGATTGTAAACCAGCAGATGCAATGTTATTTGGAACACTCTGGGATAACAGTTGTGCTTGAGATTGATTACTTTGTAATGAGATAGGAACTGATTGTCCCTTACTGCGAACTTGGCTCTGCATGCCTTGAGAACCTATCCAAGATATTTATAGTCAGGAGGATAAGTTGGAGAAGAACCCCACAAGAACTGAATCGAAAAACATTTAGAACAAGATGAACAACAAAAATACCAAAACATCAACAAATTAAAACATGCAAGACAGTTGAATAATACAACGAGGAAGAAGAAAACAATGAACAATTATTCCTAGCACATGCAGAGGTCCATACAGTGCTATTCAGCAGCAAAAGAACAGAAAGCACAAATACATGAAAAGAATTGTACTCACATAAAGAAAAAAAGCAAATTCTTGATATTACCTGGATCAGGTGGTTTGCTGTTATTCCCTGTGTTGGGTATAGCATTCTGAGACTTGTACTCCATTGTAAGCATCTTCAAAGATGATTCTCCTTAGATAATCAGTCTGAATACAGACAATAACATTAAAATCAACAAGATGACTTGCTAAGGAGTCTGAATGTGTCATGTTCATGCATATTCATAAAGAAAACAAAGAAACAGAAAGATACAAATACATGCAAAACAACAATGCATCCAAGCATGTTAAAGAATGCCACTTTCTATGATTACCTGACTGGTTGCAGTTGCAAAAATCTTTTCCTCGAACCTTAGCAATTTTCCTGAGTTCATTTAGACCCTCTTCACCAGAAAATGGAAGGTGCCTCTTCAGTGTATCCATTCTACATACACAAGACATTGCATAAGTTATTGACACACAAACATGATATCTTTAAGAATCTTCAAATGCTAAGGACCAAGTTATCAGGTACATAACACAATCAAATGAACACTAACCAGGATATTATATGAGCACCAAAAAATTTTCCTATATAACGTTTCTGGACAGTCACATTTAAATATAAAAAAGCAACAACATTGGATTTAACAAAGTTCCCCCGATATAAAAAAGTGATTGTCATGGCCTTCATACATCACCTACATTCAAATAGAGAACAACCATAATTTTCATTGTTCAGACAATGAAGTAGAAACTAGAAAGGAAACACTACTTAACAGCAATAAGTTTTTTAATGAAAAGACATAATTCAGTCAGTAAGAACAAAAGAAAACCAATTCATAGTGCTCATGAATAAGAAAACAGATCCCAAGCTTACAAGGAACCAAAGAAATAAAAGAAAATATATTTATTATTCAATCACATAAATTCATTAAATGATGCGTCCCGATATGTCATATAAAGTTGGGCCCATTAGCTTAATTGCGTCAGGTTCCAGATATGCTGCCCGTATATTGTGCCCCGGGTAAGACTTAAGAACAAGATTTGATTCTCAAGCCACGTATTTACAAAAAAAAAAAAAAAAGCAATTTGGAAAAGGAAATAAACCGCTCTTAATGGGAATGTTTGGTTCATAACAATACTAATAGAGACCACGAAACAAGCCACGAAATCTCAGTAAGTTAGAAACAAGCCGCGAAATCTCAGTAAGTTAAAAATAAGTGTATTTAGACAAAAATAATACCACAAAATTCACTTACATCTTGTTGACTATTCTTTGTCGTGAATCTGGCTGCAATTGGGCTCTCCAATCACCTGAATCCATGGGCGGCTCTCCACTGGGAGGAGTAGACCTCTAGTTATTGGTATCCATCTAATTCTGACAAAACTTCCAGATTAACTTTTTGTTATAACTTATGGATCATGAAAAAAGAAAACTAGTAAGTTTGGAAACAAATCCCTCAAGTATACAAAACATTTGACAAAGTTCTTTCAAATAATGGCTTCCCTGCCCCATTTTCAGTTTCAATCTCTTGATAAGAAACTCGGGGCAAAAACATGGTTATTAATATGATCATTTGTGGCATCACTTTTAGGCCTTAACAATGCAGGATAAGTTACCAGACACTCACAGACAACCTACAATTGAACATGATCTTTCAGTACTGCAAACCATAATTTTGACAATTAGCTATCATTTGGTTGATAGTACTATTATACTAATAGTAATACCAATACAAGAATTAGGTAACCTTCCTTTGCTTTCTCTTTTTCTGTCCTAGGCCATTGGCCGTTCGTAGAACAAAGAGACTAACTCACTAAAACACCACTACCTTGTTTGGCAACTAAAAATTAGCACGTAAATGGCAAACGTATCTAATATTCAACTAATTGCTACGAAAAATTGAAAATTTTACCTCAACGAAGATCTCCTGATCGCAACAGAAATATCGGCAGAGAAAATTCCTCAAGGATTTTTCTCAAAAAACCGAATTTCCAGATTGAACCAAACTCAAGAGGCCGATTCTCTTCGATTGTAAAGAAAGGATTAGCTATTATTAAGTGAAATAACGAGGAAAATCACGCGACGCTTATTTGTTTGGTTGAAAACAAAGCAAAAGAAAACAAGGGAAGAAGTAGAAGCAAGAAAGTATAGAAAGGTCGTATATTATATAGACCGCGGTGGATGGAAAAGACTTTGGCGATAAGTTTTGAAACTTAAATTTCTTTGAAGTGAATTTGATTCTTGGACTCAATTTGATATTTATGTTAATTTTTGTTCCATTTGAATCCCTAACTAAAATTATTAACTAAGATTACTAGTTTACTTCATTTTAATTTTATATGGTAGAACCTATGTAAATTTTTTTGATAAATAGGGAATACTACTGTAGGCCTCGTTAAATTTTGTTCCTATTGGCTCCTCATTTTATCGGTAGTAAGCTTCCAACTCTTATTAATGTTGCCTCCCTTATGAATGAATTGGGAGAGTGGGAAGATAATCCCTGATCGCATTATCAAACATGTCATGGGCATGAGATCGCCGACCTGTATTATTGAGGTTGACACTCTTGGATGGCGGTGGGAAGATAATAGACATTTCTCTACTCGATCCGCTTATTGTTATCTTCAGGATCATAGTGCTATGGTTTCCAATAGTGACTGGAAGTTTATTTGGCGCAAAGAGGTCCCTCAAAGATTTCGTGTGTTCCTATGGCTAGGGAGAGGACAAAGGCTCCTAACGAACTTGGAACAATATCGTCGACACCTTACGCCCTCCTCTTTATGCCAAATTTACAAGATGGGTGAAGAATCTGTTGAACATGTCCTTCGATCTTGCCCTATGACCCACAATATTTGGTCGGCGTTGATCCCGGATAATAATTGGAATGCGTTTATGAATTTGCCTTTCGAAGCTTGGCTGATGTCAAACCTCTGTGCTCAGGGTAACTTCCCTAGTCCGAATTATAACTGGAACATGATTGTCCCCACAATAATTTGGCAACTCTGGAAGCGTCGGTGCAGTGTGTTATTCGAAGAAAATTAGGTTGAGAAGGACAATCTGATGTTTCGCTCATGGTAACTAGCAATGGAGTTTAAAGCTAGTAATATTACTAGGAAAACTAATGAGAATGGAGGAACTCAACTTCCTTGGCAAAAACCCCTTGAAGGTTGGGTTAAAGAAAATGTTGACATGGATTGTAAACCACAAACGAATGATGTTACTGGTGGTGGTGTGCTTCGCGATAAGAACGAGAATTGGTTGTTTGGTTTCACTAAAAGTTTGGGAAGTTGCTCGATTTTTATGGCTGAACTATGGGCTGCTTATATAATGCTTTTGCATGTGTGAAGAATGGATTTTCGCATGTTGCAGCTATGAAATACCTACAGAGGAGTGGGAAGAATGTTGTAGCCATGGCATGAGTCAACTGCATGGGTATTGTTAGAACTAAATGATGAGATGTCAAGTTGTTATAGATGATTCCAGAATTATTCTGTACGTAGGTTTGTTATAAATAAGGTGATGTTGCACATTTGTAAGAGAGGAATAGAAAATATCTTTGTTAAGAATATTGTTATTTTGTTATCATGGTATTAGTCGCTTGTGATTGGGGATCTGTGGCTGTTTAGTGCTTCCAGTTTTTCTTTGATGGCCAGCGATAAGTCTAATTTTGCTAACTCCAGCACCGGTGGTTCCTCTGATTATCTTGGTGGTAAGGTGTTTACCAATAAAAATATTAGCATTACCCTTGATGACTTCAATTTTTACTTTGGAAACAATAGATTCTTTTAGCAGTACGGAGTCATCGTCTTGAAAAGCTTCTCACCGGCGCTCTCCAGCCTCTTCTTGCTATAATTCTTGGGGATGATGGTACGATAGTCGAGAATGAACAATATGAGGTGTTTATGGCCCAGGACACTGTCTTGGCCTCGTGGTTGTTTCCACCATCAATCCTTTTTTGCTTCCTCAACTTGTCGGCACTGAGACTGTCGCCGATGTTTGGCAAACGATTAATCAGTTCTTTTCCAGTAAATCAACCACCACACTTATGAACATCCACTACAAGCTTAAGACTGTTAAGAAAATGGAGCTTGGGATGAGAGCTTATATCTCTTAGGTTAAAGAAATCACTGATGCTTTGGCTGATTGTGGGAGCCCCGTTTTAGAAATTGAGAAGATTGCGACCCTTCTTAATGGTCATCTACCAGAGCATCGTTCATGTATTGCCATCATCACTGCAAGTCGAGAACCATTTACCCTTGAAGGCGTCATTTTTGTTCTAGTCGATGCAGAAACTCAACAAATTTTTTTTATCATTATGATATTCATATGAGTGCTAATTTTTCCCGTGTTTCCCTTAAGTCCACAGATGATGATCATCTGGATAACTTCTACACTCCCATGAACTATGGTCAGGCCCAGAATTTTCATGGTGGACGTGGTCGAGGTCGTAGCAAACTTCAATGTCAACTCTGTGGAAAAATCGATCAACTGGTTGATCGTTGCTGGTACCGGTTTGATAAAACCTTTCTCGGTGTCTCTGTAACACCCTCAACTCATATCCGACCCGGATACGAGTCCAGGATGTCACCTTGACTAAACAAAACAATACTTAAAAAAACCGATAAAACATTCGAACTTATTTTATTAAAAATACCATAATATACATATATTAATACAAGTTTATCAAAATACTCAGAGCATACACAACTTAACCCTTTAGTTACATGGCAACATCCATTTACATAACAAAATGACCTACTGATTAAGTTGCTTCTGATCTGATAGTTGCAGGAGTAATGTTGTCCAGCTGCTTAACCTCGATCGTCTACCTTATCGGATCCTACGTGTGAAACATTCACACGCTAAGTCATCGACTTAATGAGGCAATATAACAATATCAATAAAAATATAAAGGAATTGGCAAAATGAGATGGGTTGCAATAATAAAATGTATGTAAACAATGCAATAACCATAACCATGTTTCTTACACATATACTTTTCAAATTCACATTCATAAGTTCACCTTATTAAGTTCATTATCCCATGGTACCATACTGAGAACCTAAGGTATGTGAGTATTGTGAGGTTGTGCACTATGCTATCACCACAGATCGTATAATTGCACCGAAGTACCACGTAGAATTGCACCGGAGTGCCACGTAGAATTGCACCGGAGTGCCGCGTAGAATTGCACCGTAGTGCCATATAATAATGTCCATAAGGACCACATATCATTCATTAAGAATCATATACATATACTAGGGATCAAGTATGTGTCTCACAAGACTTCACACATGTTCCAAAGAATATATATATATCCTGAAGGACCTCGTAGACCCTCTACCCTTGGCATGCCAACTTTACTTATATTTCTCATCTACATAACATGGGCTTTCACCATTCACATAATTTGTATCACGTAGACATATTATTTTCATACCTTTATCACATAGACATATAACTTTTTCTTGTATATTCATGTAACATAATGCATATGGTATGAATTAATGCATGTATCATAATATGAAATGCGATCAGGAATCAAAATATTGAATCTAGACTTATCACAAGTCTAGAACTGAATAGAATTCATATTCATGCTATACATATGCACTCACCTAGATTTCTTTGTCTTTTCCTCGATGAATCCTACTTGTCGATTGTTCTAGAACTCGTTTAGGCTCGATATCTACATAGTAATTCATTGATACTTATCAGTATACTAATTAGTATATTCTAAACTATAATTTCTTAGGCTAAAAGAAAAGCCATTTTCATCTTTTAATGGAGGTATGCATCGATGCACTACACCATGCATCGATGCATAAATCCTATTCGATGTTTGTATTTAATGGGGTGCATCGATGCACTTCATGTGCATCGGTACACCTTGAACAATTTCTGGGATTTATCCTTGATGCATCGGTGCACGATGAATGTGCATCGATGCACATTACCCAGAATTGTCATTTTAGCACGAAAATCTCTTCTTAGTCTACTTAACACTTTATATTTCACCTCTTTTTATATCCTTAACTTGCATACTCTTACTTAAACTAATTATTATCCATTCCATTCTTTTAAAACTTAGAAATCTCATTCTCCATGTAGAGTTTAAGAATCTAACCCAAATTCCAACATGTTCTAATTTGAATTCTAACACTTCATACTTCTTAGTTAGCTTTATGACAAGTCAAATCCCACTTCAAATTATTATTATGAGCTCTAATCCAAGATTTCACTTTTCTACTTCCTTTCTTTGATTCTTCATATACTCCTCATTTTATGGTTTTAAGATAATCTAAGCTTTCCTTAAGTTTAGTTATCAACTAAGGATCAATAAGCAACCTTAAATTCATCAAGAATTTGATCACAACAAAACTCACCTTTAGCTTGGCTTCACGACAAAGAAGAAGAAAGAAGAAGAAAGAAATATCCAGAACCTTGTTTCTCTCATTAGCTTTCCACGTGGTTTACTAAATATCCTTAAGAAACATTTAATTATTTTCTTTGTCAAAAGACTCATTTGCCCCTTTAGTTCCCCATGCTTTGCTAATTGATCCTACACCAAATATTTCAATCAATTCCTTCAACTTTCAATTTATCAACTTTGATCACTAAATTTTAAAATTTCACAATTTAATCACTAACCCGATATGGAGGATGTTACAGTCTCTACCCAAGAAAACAAAGTTCGCTCAAACGATAAGTCCCCATCAACTAATATGTGTCCTTACAATGACTTTCGTGAATGTGTTGTGTCTTCTCTTGGAACTACTAGACGGGGTCGTGGAGATGGTAGTAATACTGGCACATAGTTTATTGACTCAGGTACTACCCACCATGTCACCGTTGATGAAGCTGTCATTTCTAATGGGGTCGATTATATCGGTCATGGTAAGTTGATGGTTAGGGATGGTAAGTTTCTTCAGATTTCCAAAATTGGTCATTCTACATTACCCACCTCGTCTCATTCTTTGACCTTATCTGATGTGCTTCATGTTTCATCTATAACTAAAAATCTTGTATCAGTTTCAAAGCCTTCCATATTTTCTTGAAATTCCATGCTCGTGATAGTGTAGTATACGATGAAGTTTTCAGTGCTATTTTATTGAACG